GACCGGTAACTGACAGCCGGGTGACCGCTAACTGACAGCCCCGGTAGCCGGTGACCGTCAGCCCCAGTGACCGGTAACTGACAGCCCCGGTAGCCGGTGACCGTCAGTCCCAGTGGCCGGTAACTGACAGCCCCGGTGGCCGGTAACTGACAGCCCCAGTGGCCGGTAACTGACAGCCCCGGTGGCCGGTAACTGACAGCCCCGGTGATCGGTAACCGTCAGTCGGGTGACCGCGGTGACGCCCGGCCGCTATCTGTTCACTGACGCACCTATCGAGTCTGTGGGCACAGCACCGCCGGCCAGCGACACCGCCCCGATACCGACACACGATAAAAATAACCGCCTGTCGCCACACGGCCCACCTAATCGATCACTGCCCACAAAACTCAGTTGACCGACACTGCTGATCGGAAATGAACAGCTCTGCCGACCCCCTGAACACATAAGTAGAGATCACTGTACATGTGCCGGTTTTTGCCTTTGAACTCTGCACTTGAAAACCAGCCTGCGGTCAAAATTTTTAGATGCTTTAGAATCATCTCTTAAAGACCTTTCGTTTGATACCGCTTCTGTTTCCGTAACTCCCTAATTTACGGGGTTAGACGGGGGAGGGGCGAAAAATGTCAACCCCGCCGGGCTGCGGTGGTTGGGAAATATCCTCCTGGTCAGGCCGGGTTAAAGGGACTATCCCACCTTTAACATGGGGTTTGAGTTGAGATAGCCAAGTTTGCGGCGAGGTTCAGAATCCACTATCTATCTAGGTTGCAAACCCCGCGGCCTCTTGGTGTTGAAGAAATTCGTTCCCTTCATTTGAAAATGGGCCTTGCGCAAGGCCCTATCTTCAACATGGAGCGACCGTTAGTGTGACGTCACCTCGTTTAGTCATTCTGATTTAAATGGGTTTGTTCGTTGAAAAATCGCTTAAAACTTGGTCTGAACTTTGTTGTGGTGCCTACAGAGTAAAAAGAATCAGCTTTATGACAGTAATGTGGCCTGGGGAGGGATATAATTTTGGGCTGTGACGTCACATATTTGAAAGTTTGTGTTTGGAATATGGGAAGCCTAAGATGTTTAATGAAAAATAAATGCCAGAACCGTGTTCCTGGTCATCCAATCTATAAAGTCGGGCACAATTTAACTGGTTTTAACAACATTTTAGAAGGTGGGATAGTTCCTTTAACCCGCGCCCCACTGGGGTCTGCGTATAACACGCCCTACTGGGGGGGGGGGGGGGGGGGCTATTCATAGCCCCCCTCCTAACTCCGAAACTACTGGGCCGATCGTCAAAATTCAAACGGCGTCTGATAGCCCCAGAAAACTGTCGAGCGAAACCTAATTTCATTGACCTCGTGGTCACCGATGACGTCACAGGTCAGGTCAAAGTAAAAATTATTAGCATTTTGGCTTCTTCACGTTTTGGGCTCTGGCCGCCGTCTTACTAGTCAGATCAGGCTCATTTTTGGTTCACACACTCGTGAACAGATGCTTTAGATACTCTGAGGGTACCAAACTTGTACTTTGATTTTCAGGTCAAGGTCAGGTCATCACAGGTCACGGAAATATTATATCATCCGTCGGTCACGTGACACATGTTTTATGGTCCATTTAGGCCAAACATTTCGAATTTAATGTCGTCTGTGTCATTCGAGGTCATTTTGAGTCAAATTTAGCTTAGGTCAGGTCACTTTCAGGTCAAAAAAGGTCAAATTTTGAAGTTAAAATTTTTCAACAAAAAAGGTGTCTATTGGATGCAGTTTGAGCTCAGGAACACGATGGTGCTATTTATATTGGCGTACGATGTCAAATTCGTGCTGAAAAATTAATTTGAAAAATTAATAATTGTTAATTTTTTGCAATAATGCGTATAACTTGGCCATTTTTGAAGATATTTAGCTAAAACTTGCTAGAGTTAGTCATAATAATGCGTTCTATCACATATATTCCGGTTTTTTCGAAAAGTCAAAAAAAATTTGAAAAAATGTAAAAATATAAATTTTGAATTTTATTATATAAAATTTTCGAAATTTTCAAAATTCCGAAAATTCGAGATAGCGGTTTGATAGCGCAGTCTATTCTGAGTCCTTTCCTGCAAAGAAATTGGATCTAGCTTAAAAACTGAGCTCTTGGGAGCGATTGCCGTGGTTCAATGTTTTGCGTCGAAATCGGCCGAACATGACGTCTCTCTGACGTCATTTCCGGCCGACCTATGGTAGATACGAAGTTCAAATTTTGACACAAGGTGTCAAATTGATGCAGCCGAAGGTATTGAAAGTTTGGCGTCGATACGTCAAGCGGTTTGGAAGTTATTGCAGAAAAACGGGAGGGGGGGCTATAAATAGCCCCCCCTCCCCCAGTTGGGCGCGGGTTAACCAACGCCCTGCTGGGGGTTCTGGATTTCCATTCCCTGCTGGAAGGGAGGGGGGGGGGGTGTTTGAACACACTCCCCCCTCCGATTCGGCTCCTGGGCCACGTATACGTGAGCCACGTACGTCGCTAGGTAGGCGGCATTCGAAAGAGCGTCCAACATAAGGACGAAAGCACTTCAGTCATCTTCAAGTCCGGTCACAGGTCAGGTCACAAGAGGTCATCAAAGGTAAATTGCTGCCTATATTAACATCTTAGAAATAGAAGCACATAACTTCGGGAACCAATAGAGCTACAGCGCCGTGGAAAAGCCCATTGGCTAACCATTTTAACCTTCTTTATGGAGTGTGTCCTCAGATTTGACCTCAGGTCAACACTCAACACCTAACCTCCAGAGGGCAAAAACTATGAAACAGTAACAAAAAAAAAATATTCAGTACTTATCGGTCAACAGAGTCACGACATAACTTTTGTCAGCATCGTGTTCCTCTCGCCGAGACGCGTCGAAGGAACTATAAGTTGACATTGAAAGCTCAACTTGAAAAGTTGACATCAGTCCAATGTCATGACCTGACCGGGAAAGGTCAAGTTTGCAAATCAGTCGATCCGTATCGTCGATCCGAACACGTCTAAGGCGTTTTCATCGCCCTAGTATGCGTCTAGCAGAAGTTATTAGCGAAACATTGTTAAAAATGTTATAGATAGACTATTTTTATAGATTATATAAAAATTGTTATAGATAGATATCTTTTATACATATATTTCGTGACTTGCGAGTTGCGATGACCTCAGGTCCATAACGAGGGGTCACGGGTGTGCCATTTTCCGGTTCAGTGTGTCATGTTCACTGGTAATTCGGTGTTTGAAAGTGTTTAGAATGACGGTCGTTGAAACGAGGCGCCTTTCAATTTTCTCCCATTGCCTTATAATGGAGAGGTCGCAAAATTGACCTGACCTTAGGTCACCGATATCAGATTTCCGAGACACACATTTTGTACATATTGTTGCTCCTATCAATTGCTGAAATTTGCAAAGCGATCACTCACTCTGTGTAGCTATGGCAATCATTGCAACTTTTTAGGTGAGGTCACACGTGGCCTGGTGACCTGACCTTGAGTGACCTTGGTTTGAAATTTGAACAGCATGTGTGGAAAAGATGTGTGATGAGTTTTGCCAAAAATGGCGGCGCTCCGTGCCGCTGTTCTTAACCCTCGCCCTGGCAGGGGGGGGGGGGGTCGATGCGACCCCACCCCTAAGGTTTTTCGAAGATAGCGTAAAAACGGCGGCGCGCAGCGCCACCAAATTTGGCACAGCCTATGGGGCAACCTTTTTACATATTACCTGAAAATTTCAGGTCCGGGTGACCTTGGGTCAGGTCACCAGGTCAGAAAAACCGGTACAAGGTCATGGTCAAATTTCAATTTTCTTTTTGCACCTGTCCAACTCACAGTTTTCGACTGATTTCCTTCAAACTTTCAGGATGTGCTAAGTTCACCGAGTTGTATAACATATATTCCGTTTTTTTTGAGGTCACTGACCTGAGGTCAGTTAGAGGTCATTACGTCGTAATGTTAAGCCTATGGGAAAATACTAAATTCGGAAAATACTGGAGATATCCGCTTCGTTCTATCACTTTTGTGCTTTGAAACCACAGTAATTAACAGCAGGTCGCTTGGTGCTTCTTTGTTTGGTGTACTTGTCCATGGGTCAGGTCAAATGAGGTCAACTGAGGTCAAATGACGTTTTTACCAATAACTTGGCACATAATGACGCTAGAGCTTAAAAAATGGTATCACTGTGTTCCTCGTGATCAGCCGAATCGAATGATATGCGATATGATGCAATTTGGCTAACTTGAACTTAATTTATTAATTTAAGTTTACTTAAAATTTAAGAAAAAACTTTAAGTACACTTAAGCAAGCTAAAAAGTATATCATTCGACGCGCCTTGACGTGCTGAGTTTACTGGTGCTTTTTTTTGCTCTATCTTAATTAGATCAAAAGTTATAAGCGAAAAACTTTTGACCTGTTTTTAGCGAAATTTTTACATTTATACCCCCCAAAACCCCCCTAAATATTGACCTAGAGCAACCAAATTTGCACAGGGGCGAGAACTCCAGGGGGCCCACCTACCTACCAAATTTGGTGTTTCTAGGTGCCATAGGAGCCAATCGCGAGGGGGGGGGGTCGCATCGACCCCCCCCCCGCCAGGCCGTGTTATGAAAAATGCCCTGCCAGGGCGAGGGTTAAGATATTCGCGAAAAACCGCAGGAGAGGGTGTTCAAGCCCCCCCCCCCCTCCCCCCAGCGGGGTGCGGGTTAAAGCCCACTTATTTCAAGACGATTCGAACGTTAAAAAGGTTTTGATACAGATAAGACAACGTCCCTACTAACCATGAGCAAACATCTGATACGGGTTGATATCACGGCGTATGAATCCCATAACCGTGAGCAGGCGGTGTCCCGATGTGCCTGGTCACGCCAGCCGTGTCACGGAGCCTGGTCAGAGCATGACATGACTCGACTCAGTGTGCCCGGGCACGACCCCTGAACTGCACGACTGGCCGTGACCGCGCGCCTCCCCCGGCGGGTGCCTGGGCGCGCCCCTGCGCCGTGTCGGAGCGGCGCTATCAGCCCGGACCCACCGGTATACACGGGCAGTCCGTGTCAGAGGCGAGTCCGGGCACCGCACCCACACACACCCGGTCACAGGTCACCTCAGCACCGCAGGGCTGCTACACAGGACATACACTGCACAGATACACCGGCTCACACACAGCACCGAAATACATACACGGACACGACGGAGCAAGGGTTCATTTCGCAGTGTGTGAAGTTGATAATCTTTGGCATAATTGGAAGATTTTAGTGCTCATTTGCTCTGTCTCATGGATTGATTTCCTCCTTGGAATGTTCCCGCTTAGATCGTCTCCGCGAGTTTGAGGTAAGAATTCAAGAAGAATTACACCATATTCGTTTGTTCTCATGTGAACTATGAGGTTGAATGATTTTTTTGGCAATGTTGATATGATTTTTGCATAAATGTGTTTCAGTATTTCATCTTTTTAGTTATTTTTCAAACATAGAATAAGCTCATGTTTTCAAAGTCTAACTAAGCAGCCAACATCGAAAAAAAAAACGTGAAGCAAACGTTTGCACGTGCGCGGACGGAGTCTGAGCCAACCCAGAACAGTAGAGCGAGCGCATCACTGCCCATTGGAGACTCGGAAACAGTACCATAGCGAAAAGTGGGCAGACAATATTCTAGGCTCGCAAAAACGTCTATCCCGGACTCCGGAGGATTATCATAGGTTATCTGATCAAGCCTTCGTTTCCTGAACTTTTCGTTTCGACTGAAATCGATCAGCATCCTTCAACAAACGGCACCGTAGCTCATACAAATGTCTACCTGTATTTTATATCTAAAATATCTAATGCTCAATGTCGTGCAAAGTTTCGAAGGAAGTAAAAAGGCCCGTCAAATTTAGCTTCCCAACTCCAAAGGGTTCACAATAACATACATCGTACTGTGACCGAAACAGTGGGACGACCACCCAAGCATCATGTCATGGGATGCGGTGGTTTTCATTTACGATGTGATTCAACTAGAAATTTCAATTTTTATTTACGATGCTGCTGCTTTACTATCTGATTGAATTGTTCCGTCATATTTCGCTGCTTCCATCGTTTACAGCATGGTTGGTGCCGTTAACCCAATGTCGGGAAAAGTTGTTTTAAGCTCCCCTCCCCCACGGCAAACTGCCTGATGTCTCAAATAATGGGCCTTGCAAGGCCATTTGATGATAACTATGTCAGGGCAGACATCGGACAGAGGCTACCACCGATTGGGGGGGGGGGGGGACACCAGCGTGCGGCAGACCCCCCAAGAGTCGAACCTCAAAGCACTAGCCAATAACCCCCCAAAAGTTTTCAGGGGGATGTAACTCCAAGGACTTTTCATTTTCTAGCAGCCACCGCTAACCACAATTTTTGGACAGACATTTTTGGACAGTTTTGAAGAAAGACTACGAGAGAATGCTGATGATAAAAAGACCGGTTGGTTAAGTTGTCGACTTAATTTCTTCTCTCAATCCTCGTCGGACCTAGTTTTTCATACGCCCGGCTGAAGAGGGGGGGGGGGGGTAAGATCCCCCTCTTCGTTTCGCCTAGAGCCAGAGCTTCGCAGAAAAAAAACGAGCGTGTGCGCCGTTACGAGGCACAGCAATTGATACCCGATTTTGAGGTCTCAGGTTAATCGGTGACAACTAAAGTCAGGTCAAGCGCCCCAAGGCGTGTTTGGTTTTTGGTGAATAAATTCCCCCAAAATGGTCGCAGAGCCGCGATTTTGGCAGCATCGTTTTGTCTAGCCCGCGCCCCAGTGGCGGTCTCAGCCAACTTCGCCCTAGTGGGTGGCATGTGTTACCACCCACCTCTAACTCAAAAACTAAGAGGGCTAGAAAGACGCGGTAAAAAGCAATCGATAGCTCTCGATGTGTAGTGTGTACGTTTGAAAGTATTTCAGTCATTTTTCATCTTAGAGCAATATCAGGGTCACCAGAAGTCATCAAAGGTCAAAATTTGCGAATTGTCATTATATTTTTCAGAAAACATGCCATTATCTCAGGAATTATGATAGGTAGAAAAACGTTTGGAAAAGCAATCGATAGCTTTTGAACTCTTCTTTTCATAAGGTCATTATCAAAAATGACCTCAGGTCAACGGTTTAGCCTCCAGAGGGCAAAAACTCCAAAAATAGCTGTTTTTACGAAAAGTGTTTTTCGACAATAACTTTTGACTGAAAACAGCCACGACATTTCTATTGCCAGAATCGTGTTCCTCTCGCCGAGACGCGTCGAATGAACTATAATTTGACCTTGAAAGGTCAACTTGAAAATTTGATCTCAGGTCAAGGTCATGACCTGACCGGAAAAGGTCATGTTACATATCAGTCGATGCGTCTCGGCAAGACAAACAAAATGAGGCCATCCCCAGCGTTCTATCTCTTTCCAATCGAGAGTTATTGGCAAAAATCTGTTTGTAGCCTCAAATGACCTCGGATGACCTTTCTAGAGGCTATCAGCAAAAAAGACACCTTGGTCGTCACGAATGGTCCAAATCATTTTGATTCTGAAATATTTGGACTGCTCCTATCCGTACACACGGATCTAGAGGCATTTTCATTTTTCTCCATTGACTTATAATGGAAAGGTCACGCCACTGACCTGACCTTAGGTCACGGATATAAAAAAATCCGAGATAAACAAATTATAGGCGCCCATAACATCATGCAATCCACCAAGTTTAAAACCTCTGACAAACACTGCAGGCTGGGCATGATTGCAAACTTTTTTAGGCTTGGTCAGTTAACTTGACCTGGTGACCTGACCTGACATGACCTGGGGTCAAAACTTTCACACATTGTCCAAAATTGATGTACAAAAAGGTACTGCAAGCGGCGCGGCGCTACGTGCCGCGGTTTTTATTCACACGTAAAAAACGCGATAGGAAGGTAGCATAAGCCCCCCCCCCTCCCCACTGGGGCGAAGGCTAGCTCAGGCGAATTGAATTGTATACTTTTTGTTCGGGTGAGGTTAATTTAAAGTGTTGACCTCGGGTCAAGGTCAGATAAATAGGCCCAGTAATAGGTTAAGTAGAAATCTCAGGTCAGACCACTCAGGTCACGAAATTAGTCGAAAAAGGTCAGATCGCATATCGTTCGATTTGGCTGGTCTTCCCAAGTCCATCGGTGGCTTTCCCGACTCGCTAGCTTAATTTGATCGGGAGTTATTGACGAAAAACTCATATGACCTTAGTCACATCATTGCAAAAATTCACAAATTGAAGCATCGACCCTTGCAATGATTGCACGAAATCACGATTCCGTGTGCTTGAAATAGTTTTAGATCATACCCGGCACCAAAATAACAGTTTCCAACATTCCTCATAGACTTATAATGGTGAGGTCAGGTGACCGACCTGACCACAGGTCACAGGTGACCCTTAGGAAACATCCGAGATATACAAGTTGCGGGACTCTGGAGAATACGAGGTCCTGTAAGTTTAATCTCCCTGTGAAGGCTCCTCCGGCACTGAGAGCATTACGAAGTTGCGACATTTTAGGGCCGTGCAAAGGTTCACTTATGGTCAGTGATTTGATCTGACCTGAAAATGCTGTTGTAATTGTAAGATCTGGCTTGAATCAAAGGTCAGATATGCCAAGTTTCACCTCTCTATCCCCGGCGTGTTCCGTGCTATCGAGAAATAAAACTATGGTGAGGGCTGCACTCGCACCATCCCTCGGCTGGCGAGCGTTAGATAAAATAAATAAATAAATAAATAAATAAATAAAAGTAATTAAACGAGAGAAAATGAGACACGTTCGCCACTTGTATATAAAAATCGATCGATATTTCAGCACCCAGATGGCCGAGTAAGGGCGGGGCTTGCGGCCAATATCGCTCACACTGCAGTCTGCCCACTATCGGGTACTTCTCTCGAGGCCGTGATAGTATTAATCCGTTCAGTCAGAGCCCATCAATACCAAGGCCGCCGGTCGATCCTTCACAGACTAGCCTCTATCTCAATCTCAATGGTGTCGGTGATTGTTCGGACTTATATCCGGCAGCTTCTGACATGAGCCGTCAGCTGATACACGGGGTACACGGGGGCTGAACCGGGTGGGCGGCGGCGGGCGGCGGTACTGCACCGATGGTCGTCACTGCACGTCGCACCGGTGACTCACTGCACTCTGCTCAAAGCACAGTGCACAAACTGGGTGGGAGAGAGATGGTTTCCGGGTATACATCTACTATGGTTTGCCTTCTACCTCTCTATCACTTATGCGTTCCGAACAATCGCAAGAGGACCGTCGAAGGGCGAGAGTGATAACCCTCTCGCCGGCCGGAGAGGTCTAATGCTTCACGAATCCTCTTTCTCCTACATATGTAAGCAACTAACTAGTACATATATACATGCACACAGGCACAGACTGCTGTGCCTCTATCTCAATCTCTGTGGGGGAATTCAGGAGTAGGGGAGAGTGGGGTGGGTTGTATCAGTTTTTACTCCGAGACCCATAACCTCGTAACTATCCGTGATAAACTCATTATTTCCATACTTCCCTTGATATTTCCCTTCCTTGATTCTTCTGCTTTTTTGTGCAAAGTAACTTTTCCGCTACCTCTACCAGTTTTTCTTCTACGGTCTGCCGAATAGAACAATGTTTTTGATACAACTTGCCCCATGGCTTGGGTGAGTTGTATCACATGGTGGGGTAAATTGTATCACTATTTCACGTTTCAGGGAGTGTGCTTGCTACTGGTTTTGAACATAACAGCAACATTAAATGGGGTTAATACAATGTATAGGTATGCTCAAAGGCTTCACTTTATTAGACCAAACTTAGGTCAATGCAATCCGAACGAAACATCAACAGACTAGACGCAAAAGTGGCCCGTGAAGAGCAAAGAAGCCAACACATTGTGCCGAAATGGAACGAGCATTGACTAGCTACCTACAAACGCGAGCCAGGGCTTAGCTTTCGCGATCAAAAGCAACATACCCATACACGGGCGTAGGAACGTCATGAAAAGTGGGTGGACCACCCTGTCAAGGGGCCTCCTTTTCCAGGGGGCCTCCAATTTTCAGGGGCCTCCAACTTTTGCCTCGTCCTGCTGGCTGCTTTCAAGTATGACCTCCAAATCTAGATTCTGAGATCGGGCAGATGTACCCAGGGGCGTAACCGCTTAAGCGAACAGTGCGGAAAGTCCGCACCATTTTTAAAACTTATTCCCCTCCGATTTTTTTTAGAATCTATTTGCCGCAAACGGTGCATGACCCCTGAAAACCCTTACACAAATGTCTTCCTCGTTTCCCAGGTGCCCCCATTAGCTTCATAGGCGCCCTCTTTGGCATATAAGCGCCCTATGTATAGTCATCAGAGACATTCCTATATGTCCCACAGTCGCCCCGTTGTCGCATACAATGTGCACTTACCATAGGCGTCTCTCTTTTATGGACACTTGAAGGCGCCTCTCTTTGCCATGCCGGCGCCCCTGTTTCTTATGAATACACCCCCATGGCATTGATCAATTGCAGTCTGCAGCCCTCTATTGCATGTGGACGCCCATATATGTAGGCCTCAGAGGCGCCCCTCTTTCGCATTGAGGGGCTTCATAGGCGCCCCTCTATTGCACGTAGGTGCCCTACTGTTTCCGAACCGCTCCCCTTTGGCATGCAGACGCCCATCTTTCGTACGGAGGAGCCGCTGTGGTTCTTAGATTCGGCATGGTGCTCCCAGACGCAGATGGGGCTCTCGGAGTCGACAGTGTGGGACCTTCAGTCGCTGATGGGTGCCCGCCAGATGTGGACCCTCGGAGATGCCGGTATGGGGCCCTCAGAGATGCCGGTATGTGGCCCTTAGAGACACCGGTGTGGAACCCTCAGATACTTCAGTGTGAAGCCCTTACAATTGCTGGTGTGGAGCTATGAATGCGCTGGCTTAAATCCCTCAGAGGCCGGCACATGGACATTAGAGCTCAGTGAGAGCTTGTGTGGTGCCTTCAGTGGCCTTGTGGAGCCGTTAGACATCAAGATGGTGCTCTCAGGAGCCGGTGAGTCCTCAGAGTCACCGGTGTGGGGCCTTCAGAGCTCCGAGATACTGGTGTGGGGCCCTCAGAGGTGTCGGTGTGGGTCCTTCAGATGTACCTATAGAGCCTTGAGATGCACAGGTGTGGTGGCCCACAGAGGCGCCGGTGTGGGGCCCCCAGAGCCACCGATATAGGGCCCTAAGAGACACTACATAGTATGACCCTCAAAGGCGCCGCTGTGTGGCGCTCATAAACACTGGTGTGGAGCCATCACAGGCGGGTGGAACCGTTAGAGGCCGGAAAGGGCCCTTAGATGCCTACAAGGAGCCTTTAGAAGCCGGCGTGGCACCCTTATGGGGATAAGCGTGTCCTACTTAGGAGCCCTTGAGGTGCTCTCATGAGCTCTGTGGGGCCCTACCGAGCCGAAATATGGCCACGGCCAGTTGCCGCCGCATGGCTCTTCGGACTATCATTCTCAGGGGCCTCATCTGCCTAGTTTGAATAGAAGGGCCTCTCAGACCATCAGTCTCATGGGCCTCCTCTGGCTAGTATAAATAGAAGGGCCTGTTAGACCATGGCAATCCTAGGGGCCTTCTCTGGTTAGTATAAAATAATAGACGAGTCTCTCAGACCATTAATCTCAGGGGGCTCCTGTGGACAGCATAAATAAAAGGGCCTCTCAGACCATCAGTCTCGGGGGCCTCCCTAAAAAAGTGTAAATGTGGATAGAGGGGCCCCTCAGATTCATTAGGAGTGGACCTCTCTGACTATCAGTCTCAGGGGCCTCTTGTGGCCAGTATGAATATAAGAGCCTCTCAGACCATCGGTCTCAGGGGCCTCTTCTGACTAGTGTGGATAGAGGGCCCTCCCAAGCCACCGGTTTCAGGGGCCTCCAGTGGCCAGTTATATGAACAGAAGGGCCTCACAGCCATCAGCCTCGGGGGCCTCTTCTGACTGGTGTGAATATGAGGGCCTCTCATACCATCAGTCTCAGGGGCCTCCTCTGTCTAGTGTGAATATAAGGGCTTCCCAGGCCATCAGTCTCAGGGGACTCCTCTGACTGGTGCCGGATTGAGGGACCTCCCAGACCGAAAGTTTTGGGGGTCTCCTGTGGCCAGTATGAATAGAAGGGCCTCTCAGTCCATCAGTCTCATGGGCCTCTTCTGCCTGGTGTGATTATAAGGGCCTCTCAGGTCATCAGTCTCAGGGGCCTCCTCTGACTACAGTGTAGATGGATAAGCCTCCCAGACCATCAGTCTCAGGGGCCTCTTCTGACTAGTGAGGATAGAGGGGCCTCCTCTGACTAGTGAGGGTAGGGGGCCTCGGCTAGACCGCCAGTGTCAGGGGCCTATTCTGACTAGTGTGGATGGAGGGGCCTCCCAGACCGCCAGTGTCAGGGGCCTCCCCAGACCAGTGTGGATATTGGGACCTCCTCAGATCCACTAGGGCCTCTCAGGCCATCAGTTTCAGGGACAAGTATGAACAGAGGGCCTCCTTGGATCCATCACGGCCCCTTGGAGTCCGTGCGTGGGGATTCGACGAACTTATTTTTACCGAGTTTGTTTATTCTGGAAGGTGACGACGTCCTCTCAAATCGAGACGAGGGGCCTCTAGTAAAAAGTGGGTGGGCCAAAACACATGGTTGGCCCCCCCACCTCGAAAAGTGGGTGGGCACTTGCCCACCTGGCCCCCCCCTGTTCCTACGCCTATGTACCCATACATACATACATACATACATACATGTTACAACTTACCCCACCCGGCTCTGATACAACATGTACCTAGCCGCCATCTTGGAAAAACATCCCCGTGCTAAAAAAAACAGCGGACAGCTGGAGAAATCCGTTTTCACTCACGCAGCCTTAGAACCTACCCTCACCACCGCTACGGAGATCTTTCAAATTCGTGCACATCTAAATGCCTAAAACACATTTTCTTGCAACTTATTTTTTAGAATGACATTAAAAAAAAAACATAAAATCAGCTCTCACCTCGAGACGCGTCCACTCAGCCACAAGACAGAACAGGGAAAGATGGCGCCCGGAAAACCTCGTCGGCTGGTCGTGTCGCGAGCGCCATCCATTGGATAAGTTTGGCACAATTCGCCCTGATACAACTTGGACATGATACAACTCTCCCCGCTCTCCCCTATGACCTTTATGCGAAAATTGTATCTCGAAAGATTCGATTGGGGTTCAAATAATGTGTTGTGGCCCTATAACGTTCAACAACTATTTAAACAGCGCCCACCACAGACGCTCGACAACATTTGCTGACAGTTGATCAAAAAAGAAATACCGTTTTTATTCCACCGGTCCATCCATCTACTCAACAATGTCCATGAAGAATCCCCCCCCCCTAAAAACGGACGATTCGCCTCTTTCTTCATTCCTCACTGAACCAGCTGACTGGTTTCAGGTGACTGGCGAGCGGCGCTGCCCGCCCTGACGATATGGCCGACACGGAGCCCGCCATCGAGCTGGTGGAGCTCAGCCATGAGGACACCGAGCCGCCCCTATTCACCGCCGTGACCTCAGCAGCGGACTCCGGAGGAACCCCTCAGCTGACCGGGAGCCGGGACCAGTCAGCGGCCCCGGAAGCTCCCATGGAAGATGGAGAGAGTCCCGAATCTCCGGTGGAGAGGTCGGGGGAGGGGACGGAGGAGTCGCCGGTCCCCTCTGACAGTCCGTACCGCTCGGCGGTCACCCAGACCGAGCCGCCGCCGGACGGCGTGGACGGCGCGGACGGAGTGTTCCCGGTGCGCCGCGCCGTCTCCGACTGGGCGCTCACAGACCGCAGCCGGCGCACCGCGCACATCCGCTCCGAGCGGATCCGGCGCACCGCCCAGCTGTTCGAGGACTTGGTCCAGGCGCAGGAGGAGCGGGAGACGCTGCTGACGGCCCGGCGCCGCGGCCTCCGCGGCCCTGTGGCTCCCGCGCGCGCCGTGTCGGCCCCGCCGCCGCCGGAGCGGGAGGTGCTGCTGGTGCTGCTGCCCAGCCCGCCGGCGCCGCCGCCCAGCCGTCAGGTGGACGCCATCCTGGCGCACGGCAGCGGGCCGGGAGCCGACAGTGACGCCGAGGGCGACGAGTGGGACGAGAACGCCCTCTGGGAGAAGGTGCGCGCCAAAATCGCCGCCAGACGGAGCAAGTTCCGCCGGCTCGAGTCGGGCCAGGACGAGCCGCAGCTGAGGAAGCCGGCCCCGGCCAATGAGAGTCCGCGCCGTCTCTCTACCGAGAGGACCAGCTGGCTGACGAACGGCAAACCGGCCGCATCACCGCCGACCGCACCAGAGGTGGCGGCCCCCAAACAGGCACCGGCCCCGTCCAGCCGGCAGGGGGCGGGGCGAGGACCCACCGCGCCGAAGCCGCAACAGCGGGCGGCGGCGCCGAGACAGCAGAACGCGGCGGGACTGGCCAGCCAGAGAGCCGCAGAGCCGTCTCAGGAGGCGCCGCCGAAACAGCCGGTGGCGGCGAGACGGCAGCTGAAGGCGGCCGCGGGAGGCACGCAGAACGGCCACGCCACTGATGCGACGAGGAGCTCCTTTGAAAAATACATCGAACAGCGGGAGGAGCAGGAGGTAAGGTAGAATTGTCTAGCTAGGTGGTTAACCCGCTGAGCTTTTTTAATTGCCGCCTTTTATCCTAACATAAAAAGAAGACGTCCACATTTCCAACACAGGTTATAAATTACTGCCGAACTACCGCTCTTATAAATTGACGTCATACTCGTGTCCCATAGTCTCTGCTCCACACAGCGTTCCCCTGATGACCGGTCAGCGCGGTACATCGCCCCTCTGATGACCGGCTCACTGCTACAGGTTCTGCGCAGTCTGGGCAGCGCGGTGCTAGCCAAACAGCGGCTCTCCGCCAAGGAGAAGGCTCGCCAGCAGCTGCTCAACGACAGGGCCGAGGCCGAGCGACGGCAGAGGAAGGCCGAAAACCAGCGCACCGACGCCCAGGGCCGGCTGCAGAAGACCAAGGGCAAGCTAACACGGGACAGCGCCTTCGAGAGGAAGGGGTGAGTAGATGCGAGTGGCGTAAGTACAAGAGGCACCGGCGGGTTCATGAATGTATAGTTTTGAGTGTAGTCAGCTTGGGGAAGGGGTAAGGCGGAGAAGCGAAGATACCTAAAAGTAAATCGTCTACGAATATCACACTGCTGAATACCTCTTACCCACCTTACAGGAAAACGGGAAATGATTGAAAATAAATCAGATCAGACAGTGGTTATCATTGGACACAGTATGAATACAAGCATAACTGCAGTTAGGAAAGCATAACTGTTATGCGTTTTCCAATGACGTGCGCCCTCCCCGACCCCGTCCCGCTGAAACCGTCGCCTTCTCTTCAGGCTGGAGACCCTGATATCGCGCCTGGATGGCACCATTCGCGAGGAGACGCGCAAGATCAGCAAGCTCACCACGCAGGTCGCCGACGTCGACGCGGAGATTGAGGAGCTGCGCCGCCGTGCTGCCGCCTAGCGGGAGTCGACGGAACTACGGCGGGGGCTGGGACGCAGCCTGAGAGCTATAACGGATGAACTTACGAGCTAGCTGCTTTTCAGAAATATTTATGGTTGCGAGCGATGTGCGTATGCTTGGCTGCAAAGCGCGCCATGGATTGGTACATCCACTGCGAGCTTCCTAGCAGCTTTGATTCCACAGTCATATCGAACGTAGTCGGACGCAAATGACGGTACGCTTGTGATGATTAGGTTACACATTCCGGTTTAAGAGGGTTTACGCTTTTGTTGTGTCCATGATAGTGTCTGTCGGTTTTATTTTATCCACCGATCTTACGCTCACGATCAGACTTGTGCAGTTCAGGTCAATATATACTTATCGCTCCTGCAATCAAGCTCGGGATTCAACCACCCCGATACCGTGCCTCATGCCAGTAAAACCAGTCGTGTTTCGGCCACTGTGTATTGTACCTGGTCTCGTCGCCGAAATCCCAGACCACGACCAATGGACGCTCGCCGTGAAATATATATATATACTCTGTGCCTAAAACACACTATCCGGTAAATATCGTCGCGCGTCACACCGCTAAAACACGTGTCGTTATCAGGCCGGGCTGAGTGAGCTCTGCCGCAGTGCCGTGAACAGAGGACAGGCCGGACTGAGTGAGCTCTGCCGCAGTGCCGTGGGCAGAGGACAGGCATGACTGAGTGAGCCCTGTCGCAGTGCCGTGGGCAGAGGGCAGGCCAGACTGAGTGAGCCCTGCCGCAGTGCCGTGAACAGAGGGTAGGTCGGACTGAGTGAGCTCCGCCGCAGTGCCGTGGGCAGAGGACAGAGGGCAGGTTGATCGGAGCCCGTCAGCAGATGTGTCGGTCACTTGGCCCGGTACATCGCCGGCTACCGAGGATCGCCAACAGTAGGGTAGAGCCATGCCTGGGCGACACGACACAGGAGTATAAGGTTGTGTGCTTTACAAAGGAGATGGGAAAAGTTACTTAGGAAGGACATGGCGCAGGACGGTGAGATACGAACAGGTCAGGGGGAGTATTTCGCGAGGGAGTATGAGACCGACACTGGGTTACAGGGCAGCAGTGATACACGGTGTAAAAGGAGCCTGACGACCACTGGACGAGAGAGATACTCCCCCGTAAAGAGTGGAAGCAAACCACAGTGGGAAGAGGACAAACGGATGGACTGAGGACAGGATGCAGCCTAGAAGAGTAACGGGGTACCACCAGATAATCAGACAGATAAAACCCGCGAACGAGGGATTGAGGGGGGATCCCGACACCGGCGACTCCTGAGCCGAGAAGGCCGTAATATGTTCGATGACTATCGCAAAGACAGAGCACCAGAGGGAAAATACGAAGACGCAGACACAGATTGCACCAAAACAGGCGACCGTGAACACCTGACAGACCGAATAGAAACGGTGACAATGTTCTGATCTAACATGACAGTCCGCCGGTTCCGACAGACGTGAAGAGCACTGGTTAGACATTTGGCCTGCTTCAGCTCGACATGTAATCATCACACTATCTAAAACACCGCACGGCGTCGCTTATTTCATAGCCGGATCTACGAGCATGACCTCATACGAAGGAAGACGAGAAAAGAAGGCCCTCACGTGTTCAGCGCTCACGACAGCGTATAAAGAAAGTCGACAAAGTTCAACACCCCATTGTGCTAGTCAGCCATACGGGCAACTTCGAAACACACTACGAACGCACCTACGGATATGAAATACTCGTACAAAGTTCTCTACCAAAACCCCAAGGCAGCGCAGAAGTATAGTCTCCTGGTGTTCCACGCAAAAAGTGGACCTAGTGCCTAACTTGGTCGGTTTCACATCACACATATCCTACAGATATACACTCACATGCAGGACGCACATGATCTCAGTTACTCTCACCCTCACACACCTCTGAACCATCCGTCGCCATCCATTCCCGTGCGCTCATTCTAACTCGACCTTCACACGGATAAACTCAGTGTGTTCGGCCGGCCGGACACGGGATCAGTCCACCCGTCAGCGCTCCGTCACCTGCTGTCAGCTGCGGCCGCTGACCGCCCGCCGCGCCTGTCACAGACAGACACCTGGAGCCTGGATATCCGGGCTGGGGCCGGCCCCGACCCGCCCGCCGCTCCCCGTGGCCCAGCCACCCCGTGTACGGAGGTCCAGCAGCCCCCGTACCGCCCGGACCGGCCCGGGTCGACCGGTGGGTGAGGGGTTCAGCTGCGGTACGGTGATGTACGTCAAAGAATGGTCAATCCTGAGGACAGCACTGCCAGTGACGGCAAACCTGGTCCCTGCGCCAGACCGGCTGGCTTATGTCGATGTAACCCACAGCTACGGAACTAGCGGATCGCAGCAGTTCGAGAGTCCCGACCGGTAGCCCTGGATCTCATGGATCCCACTGGTTCCTGAGGGGACAGTTTTTGGACCCACCTCTCCCGTCCACCACCGATACTGGCTGGGCCGGCCGACTGCGCATGATCTCAGACCCACCACCCACCCCTCCGTGCCCTCCCCTCCCGTCCCCTCCCGTCCCGTCCCGCCAGACCTAGTCGGACGTCTCCTCCATCTTGTGCGGCGCCACGAAGCCGTCAGCGATGTCGGCCGGGTCGAACTGCCGCTGCTTTTTCCGATCGTTCCAGCGCAGACACTCGTCCAGCGACTCGAACCAGTCGGCGATCTGGTCGCTGGCGCAGATGGACGGTATCGGGTAGATAGAGGTGGTCACGCGCAGGCTGCCGGCGGAGATACAGACAGTTAGTACTCGGTACTGGGGCCAGTGGTAGATAGAGGTGGTCACACGCAGGCTGCCGGCGGAAAAAGGTAGTTAAAACTCAGTACTCGAGTCAGCGGCAGATAGAGGTGGTCACACGCAGGCTGCCGGGAAATATGTGCAGACCAGCTAATACTCATTCGCAGTCAACGGGGAGTAGGGGTGGACAAACAAGCAACTGCATATTAAAGCAAACCATCAGAAGCACATCTTTCTACACTCCAAATATCGAAACCATCCTGAAATGCATATCTACTCCATAGTCAACAAACGAACAATACCTACCATGCATGCCGGCCTATTCCCAACACCTTGTTCATTATCCTTTCCCGTGCGTAACGACATAAAATTTTCTCTCCTTCCCCTTGCTATCGTCACATTCAGTTCACGTCCCATCCCATTCCCGAGACCTCATCCTAAAGACCAGATATCCCCGTTGCTGTCCCCTCCACCACCACAGGAGTAAAAAGGCATCCTCAGTACTGTCCTCACCTGTCTCCGTGTTTGAGCCCCTGCCGGCTGCGATAGAAGGCTACGACACCCGGCTGTGTTTCTGCTGTCCCCTCTCTACCTCCACCGGCACAACACCGGGTGGCACCACTGCTGTCCCACTCCACCACACGGGTAACACAGTGTCCTCACCTGTCTCCGTGTTTAAGCTCCTGCCGGCTGCGGCCGTCAAACGACACCCAGGCCGTGTTTCTGCTGTCCGGGGACACGGCAATCTGAGAGACGAAATGGAGGAGTGGTCAGAAGGCACAGTGCGGGGACACGATAATCTGTGAGACAAAAAAAGAAGAGATATTCAATACTGTCCTGCGACACGGCTATCTAAGAGACACACAGAGGGGAATGTTAAACACCGTCCGAGAACACAGCAATCTGAGAGGCAAAAGGGGTAGAAGAAAAGGGTTAGGAGGCCTTCCCCGTGCCCACAATGCCACCAGTAACTGGTACGCTCCGAAACGATGGTGTTAACATCTCCGCAATTAATATCAACTCCATCACTGCCAACGAAAGGCTACAGGAGCTTCAAAGCTACGTTGACATTAACGATATTAGCATACTAGCACTATCTGAAACAAAACTTGACACCACTATACATTCCAGTCTTTACTCTCTGAAAGGTTTTCATGCACCATTACTAAAAAACAGGACAAGGAAGGGAGGAGGAGTTGCAGTATATGTCAGAGACACACTACCTTTTTCGCAAATATCACATCTTGAGTGTGAGCTCTTTGAAACCCTATGGGTGAAAATCAAATTCCATAAAACGACGCTGCTGCTCTGCTCAGTTTATCTTCCACCGAACACCGCTAGCGACCGACAATCTCAATTCCTAGATTACTTGTCTGACTGTGTCCTTGAAGCTAAACAGCATAGTCCCGATCTTCTGGTCCTCGTTGGCGATTTTAATGCTGGAAACTGCTGGCTGCCTAGTAAGGCACCCAACCACTCCCCCATCACCACTTTCGAAAACAAACTGAAAAATATCACTGAAGCGTCAAACTTAACTCAAATTATTAACACAGCAACCCGCGTACAAGGGGACACCCACAACTTAAGAGATTTGATTTTTGTAGACCGAACCGAACTAATTAAATCTTCAGGAGTTTTACCGGCTTTCTCAAACATCGACCATTTCCCTCTACTTATTTCTTTGTCCCTTCAGAAAATCGACGCAGACCGACATGTAACAACAACCCGCTGGGACTACTCAAATACCAACGTTGACGGTTTCATTAATACACTGAGAAACATAGACTGGAGCGCCATAACAAATGCCGACACCGACGATGCAATTGAAATGTTAACAGAAGCCATCTTGCACACTGCAGTAGCTCACATACCAAAGAAAACCGTAAAGATCCGCAATCACAAACCGTGGCTAACAGCAGAGCTGAGGCGCGAAATGCGTAAACGAGACCGGTTATTCAAGCTTGCTCAACGTCACAACTCAGAAAGAGATTGGTCGATCTGGCGATCTCAGCGCAACCTTGTAACCAGCCTTAATAGAAAACTCAAAAATGAAACCATTCAACACAAAGTACATCTACTTGTCACTAGTAAGAAAACCCCTTACAAATACCACAAAATCCTGAAAAGCGTCACGGGGTTCAAGCAAAACTCCATTATGGCTCCTCTGATTGTCGAAAATGATCTTGTAAGTGACGACCACCGCAAGGCCGAGGCCCTCAATTCGTACTTTTGCTCCCAGACAGAAATAAACATTACAGACAAACACTTACAGCTCGTACGCGAATACAAATCTTCATATAACAGCACTCAGCGCACCTTTCAGTTTTCTCCCGTTACACCTCGAGATGTTTTGAAGACCATCAATGGGCTGGATTCGTCTAAAGCCACCGGCTCCGACGGCGTACCGGCGAAACTAATCAAAATGTCAGCGGCTTACATTGCTGAGCCTCTATCCAGAATTTTAAACAAATCAGTCCAAAAAGGCAGGTACCCAACTCAGTGGAAGAAAGCCACAGTTAAACCAATTTTTAAAGGGAAGGGCTCCCCATCTGAGGCTGCATCATATCGACCAATAAGCTTACTGCCGTGTCTATCGAAAATATTCGAAAAACTTATGTTCGCTCAGATATATGAGCATATTCACAGTCATTCGCTCTTAACACAAAAACAAAGTGGTTATCGCCCTGGTCACAACACAGAGCTCCAACTTGCTTATCTAACTCACAGGTTATATAGAGCCATAGACTCGGGTGAGGATTACACAATCATTTACCTGGATATATCAAGATATTTCGAAAAGATTTGGCATGAGGGGCTGCTAGCAAAATGTGATAAAGAATTTGGTATAAGAGGTGCACAACTTGATTGGCTAAACTCTTATCTAAGTGACAGGAGACAAGTAGTCCAGCTAGGCCAAACTACGTCCACCCAGCGTGAGTTATCCGCAGGAGTGCCACAGGGATCCATCCTAGGCCCACTGCTGGCCATAATGTATCTAAATGGGCTCAGTAGCGTTACCAACAATGAAATGCTATTTTTTGCGGATGACAGCTCCTTACATGCCAGTCACAATGTTAATAATTTTCATGAAGTTGAAAAATCACTGCAAATCGACTTAAATCGCATCAAACGCTATGGAGACGACTGGATAATAACATTTAATGCTACAAAAACAGTCCAACAAACGCTTAGTAACAAAAAAACACACATTCCAAGCCTGGAATTTGGCGGTTCACCAATTCCCATTCGCGATTCCCACAAACATCTTGGAGTAACAATCTCAACTGATCTAAGATTCAAGTCTCACGTCAACAACATCCTATCAAAATTTTACCGCACGATGAGTCCTCTCTTCCCAATAGCATCTCTACTTCCACGACAAATCTTACTTCAAATCTATCAAATGTATGTCCAGCCCCATCTCGAATACTGCGACTCAATATTTGATTGCCATCTGACAGCATTTGACAAGTCCCGACTAGAGAAAGCACAGAACAGGGCGGCACGCCTTATCACTGACACACCTCGAAGGACGTCTACAGCGGGCCTCCGGAAAGAGCTGGGCTGGACCTCACTAGTAGACAGACGTCGGGCCCACAAAGTGCAACTCTATCACAAGATAGCATTAGATGATCGTGTTCCGGACTTTATAAAAGACATCATACCCAAAACGAGAAACCTAGAGATAGAGAGAAATCTGCGATGCACACAGTCCACTCAACGCACCATCCCAGCAGTCCGCTCAGCTTCCTACGCGAGATCTATCATCCCAACAACAACAAGAATCTGGAACGAACTACCCAACGACTTACGAGCCGAACACAGCCAAAAATTCTTCAAAGAGAGGCTGTATGCATATGCCGGTATAAACATGTCACCTAGCTCCTACCTAAGCACAGGTTCCAAAATTGGAAACCGGCTTCACACCCGACTCAGGCTTAATTCATCAGATCTTAAAGACCACAGATTCAAATTAGGGAAAAGTGATTCAGCCAAGTGCAGATGTGGTGCTGCTACAGAAAACAACGAGCATTTCCTCCTCATCTGTCCACTCTTTCGCACAGAACGAGAAGAACTGTTCGAAAGGTTAACTGAAATTCTCAGTGAGAACTTTCAAAACATTCCTCGGAAAAAGAAAATAGAAACACTACTAAATGGGCCTTCGCGAGTTATGAAGGTTACCCGCCATGACACCGCCATGGCCGTCCAGAGCTATATACTCAAAACGCGGAGATTTGCCTGCTAGAACTAGGAGCAGCACTTCCATTTCGGAATACAGAGCAATGGCGCGAGTAGGGGCGGGGACAGGCGCTTCGGCCAAGGCAGGGTCGACTTCGCTATGTTAATATTGACATTTTGATTAAGATCAGTAGTGATTAGTAGTGTTCGATTAGAAGTGTTATTGTCTGCTTTCTACGTGTTTCGAGCGGCGTCTCGTTTTAAGCGCCATAGCGCTTCTACGCCAATCGTAATGTTTCGACAAGTGTGAATATGGATGCTCAAATAAATCATCTCTCATCTCATCTCATCTCACTGTCCGGCGACGCCGCAATCCGAGAGGCAAATAAAAGGAGCGAAAAAAAGGAGTTCTCTCTCCTCTGACCACCCCTACACTGACCTCTCTCCGGCACTACCCTCTGCCCTCCCATACATTGACCTCCTCTCCTATATACTGACCACTGAGCCCCCCATGTTCACCCCTCCCCCATACTGACCTTGAGCTCGACGCCGGCGGGCACGACGATCGGTCGGAAGGAGAGCGAGTGCGGACAGATGGGCGTCACCATGATGGCCGGCACGCTCGGGTGGATCATACTGGCCCCGGCCGCCACCGCGTACGCCGTGCTGCCAGTGGGCGTGCTGACGATCAGACCTGGCGGTACAGGTGGCGAGCGGTCAGAGCTGACCGTATAGGCGGGGAACAGTTAGAGCAGGCCGAGGGGGGGGGGGGGGCAGGGCCGGTCAGAGACAACAGATCACACGGAAAACGGGACCCGTAAGAGCCAACGGATTACATTTCATGGTGTGAATGGTTCATCATTCTATGAAAGCAATACATCTGATAAATGCATCTTAGCGACTAGCGAGCGGAATTTTCCCCGAAATTTATCCCTTTATACTCTCCTAGCTGAAAATATTTTCCTTGCCACTATACCAGTGATTAGGAGATGTGACGAAAATCAACAGACGCTCAAAGGTGTCCGACTCACACTTTTGTGTCAGTCGGACTCGTACTGCACAAGACCTAGCCGCACTAATGCATTACACACAAGGCAACGAGGCGACACAGCTTTACATCCAGACTCTCCGCCTGTTATCGTGTTATCACATCACACCGACAAACGAGCTTGTAAACACAATCACAGTACCAATCCAGCCCACAGAGACGTGTCACCAGCCCGCCCGGTCTACACGTCTAACTCTGTCGGGTTTGTCACCGATTGACACGGCCGGCACTGCTCTCATACAATGGCGACAACGCCGGGTAGTGGGTACCAGCCCCCACCTAGCAAGGCCACCGGCCGCGGAGCCCGGCGGTGAAAGTTCCCTTTGTGCGCCCTCCCACCTCGCCTCAGCCCGGAGTGCAGCAATTTGAGCCTAAAATCCTCTACCCTCCCACCTAGCCCCGCCGTCTCCTCCCCCTCCCTCCCCGCCCCGTTCACCCACCGTCGCCCTGCACGGAGGTGATTTTCTTTCCGTCCAGGTAGAGGTCGATGTTGCTGAGGTAGGGCGACGGACCGCGGTCCACCACCACCTCATTCAGCACTAGCAGATTGGTGGGCGGCTTCTGCTTGGTGTCCGAGTCCTTCCGCAGCACGATACAGCGCAGACGCGAGCGGAGCGTCAGCGCCGCGTGACCTGGGGAAGGGTGGTGGTGGTGGTGGTGGTGGGGGGGGGGGGGGGGTCAACGATTAATCAGTTAACGGAGGCCGTGGGCTCATCAGCGGTATGGCGGGGGTTGGGTGCAGCATCGATATGCCGATCGTACACGAATAACGGCGGGCCAAAGACGGTAATATTAACGAATAACGACAGGTCAAGGAGTAAGGACAGCAACGCGCACGGGTCACAGACAGTAATGTCACAACAGCTGCATCTTTACCGTCAATCCAGAGCACCACCTCACGAGACAGCACGAATATGGCGGTATTATGACATAACACGCAGGTTTCAGCAGTTCCAAGAACGTCAAATCCGCACTGTTGCTTTATCAGAAGACGTGCTATTTAGACAGTAGATGCCGTCAAAGATAACAAAGCTGCGTGTCCTTGTATGGAGTTGTTGCTTCAAATCCCGCTGAACTATCACTTAAGCTCGTTGTTCTACACAGTTCTTTTGTAACTAATTATCATGGAGCTCTTTTGTCGTGTCTGTTTCGTCTTTTTGGACCGCATTAAGCCATCATCTTGGAGCACAGATCTAGGATCGAGATAAGCCACGAACAACGAACACCCCAGACGAAAGGACGGCCAGCGCCACGGCGACAAACCAGGGCGACCGACAAAGGGACCGCGTGCCGCCGCCAGATAATCACATTGGGCGCATTTCCACCGTCTAAATCTCACTTTCAATCTTGTATGGGGCCGTCCTGGTAATTGTGGCATTATGTAGGTATGTTATAAAAGACCATCTCGCTCTCCAGGCTCTTAGAGGGGATGCTATCACGTGGAAAATTAGACTTGCTATCAGTCAACTTTCAACTGGACGGACTGACCAATGAGTCATTAGTTCTCCGATTCAAAACTGAGAAATAGACTTCTTTGAATCTTGTTAGAAAAATCAACCGCAAATTGTCCGGTAATCTCAAGCTCATCAAGTGATAAGAGTTAAAAAGTCACCACTTCTCACCCGATGGATAGTTATCGCTAGGGTTGGAGTAAAGTGTTTCAAGATCAAGTCCTCCATGCTTGAAAAGCTATCAAGATAGCATCGCATTCCGGGACGAAAAAGGAGGACTAGAAAGCCTATCTATTACAATTACTCATCTCACCATTGTATCGCATGGGACAAACACTTACACCAGCCTAATGGGCGCCAGTCAGTCAGGTAGTGGTCACTTGAATACGGAAGCTGAAAAACACTACAACGCACACAACTCATCAATAAGCCACCCAGTTTTCCCCAGCCGCCGCTGGCTGTGCTACTGTTTGTCGCGTGTCATGTTATGATCGACAGGGTAGCTGGCAAGCAATTATCAACACGTGTCGTGGATCCGGACCACACAAGGCAAAACCACCGTTCGTACACAGGGGATCGTCCAGATAACAACGGCGATGTGACAGTTAAATTAATGTGAGACAGGGTGCCACACAGACAACGTGAGCCACTTGGTGCCCATCTGACCAGTGCCTGAAAGTGATGAGCTGGGACAACCAGTCGCCTGTTCTGAACGGCCAACAAATGCCGTTCTTAATTATCAACGACCACAAAGGTGACAGGTGCGAAGCGCAACAAAAGCGGATATATTCCGAGAAGTACACATCACCCTTCACACATACTTCCACTTGACACTCGGCTGGCGGAGATAACGGAACGTAACACCTGCCCCCCAATGCCGGACACTTATGTTACTCTCTGTAACAGTCACAACGCCACACCCAGCTCGTATGTACCCGTCTCTGTTATATAACAGTGTGCGTCTCACCTTCGAGCACGGCGTTGACTTGCTCCTGGAAGTTGTCGAACTTGAACGGTGTGAGGAAGCCGAGGGAGCCCAGGTGGAAGGCCATCACCGGCGGTACCGATTGCTGTGGGAGCGGGGAGACGAGCGCGAGTTACAGGGCGAGTAATTAACGCCGAGCTTAACGATACCATACCATTCAACGGTTTGGTGTCGGTAAGTCTGTAATGCTGCCATGACCAGCGGCACCAATTGCTGTGCAAGGGGAGACGAGCGAGTTACAGCGCGGGGAGCAAGTACCGAACTCGCGGACATCAATGACCAAACTGCGCAGCGCCAAACGTGGTAACTTACGATAAAATTGTCATATGAGATGTCTTTTCAGACTCTGATGGGTCAGAGCAGACTACCGACTCCGAACAGACATTGGATATTTTCATGCAAGGCGAAATTTCCATTGTTCTGCTTTCACGACAAGGTTCACCTAGGCATTAACCCTTTTCAACCTGAATATCTATAGCATGAGTCAGCGATATGCCGCATGCGCTGCTGGTATCCATAAAACATTCCAGGAGCATGCCACTGATATCGCGCTAGACACATGTTCAAACAGCTCCATCGACCCGTCCCCCGACCCCGACACCTGTGTTCCGGGAGTTACCACACAGCTGCTGGCGTTACAGCGGCACTGTGTAGCGTATCCGCGGCCACTGAGCGACAGCTACAAGCACAAACGGTATGACCTACGGTCGTGAGCCTATACCCGTATCTGCGCCCTCCTGTCTGCCCGTTCGCTCCCCTGTGTCTGACTGACCGGTCTCCGCCCCCTGTGTGTCTCCCCGCACCCTGACCTGGAACAGAGAGCTGGCGTAGAGCAGCGTGCCGTCGCCGCCCAAGCACACGATGAAGTCGATCTTGTCGGTGAGGTCGTCCTTGCCGTCGGTGAAGGTCTGCACCTTGCTCTCGAGGCTGGCCCAGGCGGGCGCGCCGGCTAACAGCGGGTCGTCCAGCACTGAGTGCTCCACGAACACTATCATCTTCTTCTCCTGGCGGTGGGAACACGGAGATGAAGTGAGGTGAGATGTGGGAAACGTGACAGCGGAGTGAGTCACATCAATGTGACCACAAGATCAGATATGTACTATATGCGGGAAAACAATGATATATCTAAGACATTGTTATGCATAACTCTTCTTATGACAAGCCAGCTCGACCATTGCCTGGTCAAAAAATAATACCTGCATCGTTTTTCTGCAGTAGATGTGAACTGACCATACCAAGTGACGACCGGTCACGACTCACGGCTATGAAAAAAAAAAACACCAGCGCAGAGACCCATACAATGACGACAACCAAGACATCTCGTCACCCTGGTGTGGTTGACTTTCACGCCAGCTCATGGCGCAACATTTGGCAGACAACTGTTAAATCTGAACACCATTTTGGGCTAGCAGATTACATAACTTCCTTATCTATCTCAGCCTCGAAAGTTTCATCTAAGTAGACATTTTGAGCTAAAACACTGTGGCATGTGCCTGTGGTCAGCTCTCTTGTGTTCCAACATTACCGAACTGCCGAATGGCTTTTACTAAAAGTGGAAGTGAGAAAATTTATATTTGTAATTGTCATGCAGCTATGCAGTTGCATCGACGTTGATACAAGTGACGAATGTCTCCCGGAATACCAGCAATTCGTAATTGAATCAATCGTCCCCAGCGACAGAGCCTTCCAGGGAACCCGGTCTCGATTATGGCGGCGATAATCACAGCTCTCCGCGCGTCGTTAAACGGTTCGTCACTGATCCTGCGCGCATGCCGCTAAGCCAGTCCAGAGATGGCTGTTCACGGGGATTTCCGCGGACGGACGCGGTATCTGTCCTGAGAAGCGCAGCGGGCTATGTATAGCGACGGGCAAGGCGCGGCTTTACGCGGAGCAGCCCCATGGCGGTGACACTGAGCACTGAGCACTTATCAGGAGAGGAACATGAAGGTGTAAAACGCTCCGTGAACGAACAGCTAGCGGCGAGGGTCGGCACTCGGTAGGCAACAGTTGTTTCAAGGAGGTGAGAATTTACAGAACACGTCTCAACGACCCCACGCAAACAGTATTATTTCTGAGGCGAGCTATAGCGTGGTGTTCCTAGTTAAGAAGCCCTTGCACGAATATTTGATAGATTCATTGCAATGCCGATGTCGGCTGATGTAAACATAAAGCCAGTTCAAATTTGAGGCAGAATGCAACTTATCGTTACAAACTCACAACTACATAAATGAACGCTTCGTTGCTTGCTCCCTAAAAACATTTGAGTAGTTGGGTCACACTAGTGGTCACCATTCATGGGCCTCCACACTAGCAGCCGCAAACCCAGCCTTCCCACCACAGCCAGCTCCCCTCATTCACTCACGTTGGTGAGCCAGCTGACGAGCTGGATGAAGGGCGCCAGCACCGAGGCGTCGCGGACCTTCTTGATGACCAGCACGGCCATGGGCGCCTTGTACCAGGTCAGACGCTGGCTGGCAGGGTCCTGGATCGTCCTGTGAGCGAAAAACAGACGCTCGTCATCGTCCGAGTACGACATTGTAACCTTTCTATCGCCGCAGGAGACGTTCTCAGTCGGCGACTATAAAAGTCTGGGCGTGTGAGTTTTGGTGTTCACACTAAAATGACATCTACATCAAGAAGAAATCCTTGTGTGCAGAGATGACTTTATAGATGAGCACGATAAAAATGTTCAGCTGATCACGCATGTGAATCGTACAACAACATACACAGTACACACACGTCTGCTATTTCTGAGCTGTTACCATGACTATATGATGGTGCGGCGACACTAGCAGACGGCCCGGCCCGGCGGGACCATCGAGTGGCTCATATCGTCCCGTATTTGCCCAGGTCACACCACTCAGGGTGATTGGTCGGCACAGCAAGGTCAGAGACCGTGAGCGGACCGTTTTGTGCGAAATGCCAGTGTTACATAACCGAGCTTTCTGCTTCTTACGTCACTATAGATCACAGGTGATCCACTCCTAAGCACATGGAATCAAATGGGACAATCAGCATTAATTCCATATGCTATTGGTGTTGCAGATACGTTATAAATGAATGCCACGAGAGAACCAGATCAAATTGTAGGCTCAGAGACGCCTTTCGATGGGCTAAAACAAGGTTTAAACATCCGAACAGACCACAGACACTGAAAATCGAAGCTGATAGGAGATTCACAAGTCTTTCGAAAACAAAGCAACCACGGCGATCGAGGTGAGAGTTATGCCCAACCCAGACCTATTTCGCTCATCGTAAAAATAAACCATCGGAAAATGGTTTACATCGGAATATGGAAACTAATAAAAGAACCCACACGCTTCACGTGACTTAGTATATTCACACCGATACCCAGAGTAAACCCAGAGTGCCGGTGCCATAAGCTTGCTACACTTGTGCTAGAAGTGAGCAAGCTACCCAGTACCTAGACCAAATGAAATGTATATCAGGCACATACACAGAACAGGCTATCGGTCCATGGACCCGATGCACCAATATCAGTGACCCAGTGTACCGGTGGTACCACGTCACCAGTACCGGTACCCGTCTCGTCTCAGCCGTACTCAGGACGCTTCCCCATCCGTTAGTAATTAGTATACCTGGTGGTGCGGGCGGCGCCGCCGATGTGCAGGACTTGCCGCATATCTCTGACGGTGTCACAACACCTGATCAGGCCAGCGCGGTGGTCTGTTGTGGTCCTCTCCCGGACCACACCAGACCAGCGGTCTGTCGTGGTCAACTCCCCGACCAGACCAGCGCGGGCGGTCTGTGGTGGTCCGCTCCTCGACCAGACCCCACAATCAACTGCGAGTGACTGACCAGACACGCACCACTCGGTCACCGCGTAGTCGGGCACACGACACGCCGATCTGTGGGCCACCGAGCTGACCAGTCCCGCTCAGACTTCACAGCCTCGCCCGCTCACACTTCACAGCCTCGCTCACAGCCAACAGTTCACAGCCTTGTCTTCTCACAGCTCACAGTTGACGACTCTTTCCAGCTGCCGGCGGCGCGATGGTTCGATGCTTTGCTCCGAGACCTCACTCCGGAATCACTCGCAGCTCCGCCGGTTCGCAGCCACGGTCCCCTGCTCTGACTGCCTCTGCTGGTAACACTCCTGTCGGAAGGTACGACCCGGCCGGCCGGGCGACCTCTCACTGCCCTCAGGGCACACTCCACAGAGCACCGACCTCACGGCACCGCGCCTCGCTCCGCACTGAGCCGGGTCCGAGCCAATCCACCGATCAAATCCACCGACCGCCGTCACCGCGGTCTATCGCCCCGTCGGACAGCCACTGAGGACAGACCATGTGCCGCTCCCCACACAGGCTTCCTTCAATCAGCCGCACGCAGCCGGCGGGGTCCTCAAACCGAGCGCACCGAGGCCCTCAAACCGACCGGCGCTGGGCCCGGGGCGCGCCATGGGTGAATGGCAGGGACGGGCGGGGGCGGGGGCGGGGGCGGGAAGGGGCGGGGGAAGATGGGCGAGGGGGCTCGACGGATAATTGGAGAGAGAGGCAGACAGTTTCATGGAATCACTCAAGGCCTCAGTTTCCTGAAAGAAGCCAATCCCGAAGGGAAATGGGAAAGACACGTTAACCCTCGCCCGTATAGGGGGGTGGGGGTGGGGGTCGAACGGACCCCCCCATGGTTTTTCGCGAATAACTCGCGTAAAAAGCGGCCGATCGCAACGAAACTTTCAGTACCCTCGCGTTATTCAATTTTACACCAACCCTGAAAATTTCATGACCCTGACCCAAATGACCTTTGACCTGTGACCTACTTTTCGAGACCATGTTTGGCCAGAATCGCGATTCGGCGTATGTCGGCTCGCATTAGCGGCGCGTTTGCAGTCTTTTCGTGGTTTCAAGCGTTCAAACATGTGATATGGTGTTGCCCCCATGCATTAGGGTGGGTGTCAAGGTCACCTGAAGGTCAGGTCAGGTCATTGCCCTTTGATGACCTCGGTTCACTTTTTCGAGTTTTACATGTTTCTAGGCCAGTTTTTGGAGCTGAATTCGAATTCAGCAACCATATGAACATTTACGAAGTAGTTTTGGTGCCTTCGTAGCATATTACGAAGCTGTCAGAGGTGGTTGACACCTACTAGGAATACTCGGTAGGACCCCTACTGGTTGACCTGACCTGACCTGACCCGACCTGGACTAAATGCATTAAGACATCATCTGTGATCAAAACTAACATGATATTCGTGATCAGCACCCCGAAAACCCCCATAGCAGCCACACTTTACGACGTTCTAACAGGTCCCGATTTTCCCGACTTTTGGGTCATTGACCTGACCTGCAAGGTCAACCAATGACCTAGGACCTTAAAACTGGGTATCATCGGCTCCCTCTCGTCACGGGCAACACGCTCGTTTTTTCCGCGAAGCTCTAGCTCGATCAGGGGCGAAACGGAAGGGGGGGTCCAACGGACCCCCCCCCCCCCTTATACGTTCGCGGCTGGAAAAACACCAATACGGGCGAGGGTTAAAATGGGAAAGGTGGCCAGTATGAAAATAAGAAGGTGGGTACTAACCTTTACATAGGTCAGCATTGACACTGTGGGGAAGGGAATGGCTGGTCTGATTTATATCTTCTCCCGTACTGCTGGACCGATGCACGAGGAAGTCACGAACCGAGACAAACACAGGAACCGGACGTGAACCGGGCCGAAGGCGACGCGATAACCCGACTACTACCGACACATGAGCCGAGCTTACATATAGTTTGTAGCCAGTCCCTAGCTTTGTTCTGTTGCAAAGCTAGGGTGTTGCGTTGCAAGTGTTGTAAAACATACCAATTTGCAACAACCAAAACTCAAAATGATTTCATTCAACGCTACGAATAGCACAACGAAATTAAGACGGAATACTGAGGCGGGATAGCCAAAAAAACCCTATGTAACCAGGCATATAAAATGGGCTCAGACAATGTTCAGACAAACCCACGGTTCATGAACCACGCACGAACCAGCACTGAGCCCGACTCGGGGTGGCAAATTGTCCCGTACAGGAACTGTCTGCTAGGGTGCAAAGTCCGCCGTCACGCCAGTCTCTGAGTCGAGTGGGTGACGCCATTCGCCGGCGGTGGTCGCGCGAGGAGACACGAGAGGAGGCGGAGGGTGGGTAAACCAGCCGGCCGAAAACTGCCCACCACCGTGATTTGAGGAGTTCTCAAGGTCACAGAAGTGCGTGTCATGAAACGTCGTAAATATGATGCTAATGGGTGGATCGGCGGTGAATACAAGAACAGTGAATGGACACAACATCCAACATCTAAGCCAATAAGTAACCATTAGCGAACCAGTTAACTTAACGCTTTCATCGTAAATATATTTTGAGGTAATCGACGCAATTTGCAAATGATGGATCATGAACTGCCGTTGTAAACAACTTTACAAGAACTATAAACGTTGTTATTCTTAACCGCAGCTCAAGACATAAAACTGATGTAACCATAGCAAAAACTATACGAGCTGTTCTTTTTGGTGCTGAATTCGCAAAACCAAAACAAAAACATAGCCTTATTTTATAATCTGACGTACAGAGTCTTACATCATAAGCATGTAAGCGGGCAGTGGATTGACCGCCCTGTCGATGCTTAGCGTTTTTGATTTATCACGCCAACAATGCACACTGGCGGTCGGCGGATGTAGGGTGTTAAGGGATTTGGGGGCAAACACCCCGCAGCGTCCAAAATCGATAAAATGTTGTTTTTCGAGAATAAAAATAAAACATTACAACTTCTATTTAGAAAGTTGGTTTTGAAGCTGACAGCTGCGCAAGGAATCAAAATCTGGGGAGTTTTGGAGTTTTTTTTTTAAGCTCCCCCGCCGAGTCCCGAAACCGCCCCTCTATATCCGACAGTGACCATGAACACACAGACGGCGGATGAGTGCAGTGTCGGTCACATTGAACGCGCCACCCGATCATTCGGCACGGCTGCTGATCGCACGGTAATTACCCGATAACGAGACAGGGGTATGATTACCGGGAACCCGGGGAGGGGGCGAAGGAGGAGGGGAGGGGAAGGCCGGGGGAGGGATCCGGGATCAGTGCGCCCATCAATGACGCAAGCTTCTGTATGTATGCAGATAACCGATCACCAGTCACGGAAATTATGCGCGGAACTCGAGCAGGCCTGCATCATAAGTGGCTGTGATTCATCGCAGCAGCGATTCGATAACAAGCCACTACTCATCCACAGACCTTACGACCCTCTCCAAGTAATCGGCTCGATGAGTCAATGGTCGAGCCTTTGACACGACGAGCGGCGTGATGAAACCACTACGGATGACGGGAGTATCTTCAGAACTGGGAACAACGCTGAGTATAGGTAAGTCAGAACCTCAGCTGCAGCCTGCAGCTGGGAATAAGAGCCTCAGAAGATTATACAAAAAGAGTATGCATGCGTTACATATCCAGAAATTCACTTCCCGTTTGCAAAGCGCATATTAAATGTCTCGCGACCCTCCCATATCAGTAGTCCAGTGCTCTCCCCAGTCCCTAATTATCCTACCAGAGTAACTCCAATGTCCGCTGACCAGCCCACTAGGTGTGAATCACCAGCCAATCACCAGCCATTATCACCACAGAATGTCTCCGATCACACGGCGTTGCTCCAACGCCGGGCAGTCAATGAAGGTAGCGACGTGACTGAGAGGAAGCGCGGAGGGCGAAGGAGTAGCCTTGGAGGGACGGGAACAGCACTTGTCGGCGAACACCTGTCTCCCTGTCTATCTACTTCCAGAGAACACGACTGGCCTGTCACACAAGGTCCCGCCTCGCCATTCCATCACAAGAAGAGGAAGGGTAGGCTTGACCACGTTCCGTGTGCGATACAAACTATCAAAGGTTCTGTTCCCAATCAATGCCACTCTAAGATGTCATAAACGAAACAAATGCCATAAAAGAAAAGCTGCATTTTTCAATAATGCTCACCCGACTAACCACATGCGACCGAAGTTTTCTGGAGCACCTTCTCGGCCAAGTGTCCTCCTCCCGCGATCCACTCCACTTCTTTCCAGAAGAGCTCACACGCTCGCGCGTGTCCTCTGCCGCCTCGAGAGGTCACATTCGCTGCTCGTGACGTAATTTAAGCCCACTTCTGGGGTTTTCCAGAACTGCGTCTCGCGACCACCTCTTCTTTCAGCCCGAAAAATTACAGACGTCTTCAGGGAAAACACTTCGCAAATCACGTCGGAGCACTCCGGAAAGAGGCATGTCATGGTGTCACCTTTTCCCGCTGAAGAGGCCGGAGGCTTCGACACGTCTGACCGCAAAATAACAGACAAAACCTTTCATAAATTACTCCCGAAAACCAAGTCATGACGCCGACCGGCCTGGGACGGTCGTGACGAGCCGCGTGGCAGAGATCTGGGCGGCCGCGGCGGAGGTCACACCGGTCAGGTGGGAGACCCACCGAAACTGTCCCGGGCGGGGTGGACCGTGTCCCCAGCGCCGGCTCAGCGCGTGGCCCTGGGTCACGGGTCACGGAACTCACGACGGCCGTGAGTCGTGAGTGCCGCCGGCGTCACGGTGTCAGTGGCCAGTCACGGTAACTGGGGTACTGGAGGTGACGGCCGACACAACAGGCCGTCAACGGTACAATGGCCGCGGTACAGGGCACAACACAAGGTACTGGGGAGGGAGGTACTGGCAGTGGCGGCCAGTAGAGCAAACGTGTGACGTGAATTGATTTTTAACGCAAGAATGTCATTCCGATGTCTTACCTACATTTTCAACATCTTGACGTCATAAGAGTGACAAACATTATGCATCCGCCTGTACCTATTCAGTCAATGCCAATTCTGAGCCACCTGAGTGATGTTTTAAGGAAAGTTGGTTAACCAATTTTGTTTTACCGATCTCACTTATTTCCCTATGATGACATTCAACCGACCCCTGCTAGGGGTTTTGGGCCGGCGGAATTGACTCGCATTGTTTGTGGCACGGATCAGTGGCCGTGCTCCTGCGGAGGTCAGTCTCAGTACCAGCTCCAGACCCGTGCGAGATCGGCACTGAGCGGGTATACCCGCCGCGGCACCGGGCCCTGAGGTGGCCCAAACAGCTGGTCGGACTGGTGCCGAGGTCTGTCTGATGTCTCCCATGTCAGACGTGACGACCTACCGCTCAAGACGGACACGATCACAGTCGGGTGGGGCCGCACGGGATGGGGACAGGGTAACGGTAACGTTCACGGATTACAGAGAAGCTACCGACTCTGCGTGATTGAGGCATCACTGGCGAAAACAAGACCGTTAGAGCTGCTGGAAGCCGTCAGAAAGGCCAGTACCCAACAAACACTCCCGATACAATTTCAATTAGGAAGCTTTCCTGTTTGTGCATAAAAAAAATCATTTAAATTTAATGAATTCGGTAACGAGCTGAGAGCCTCAGGCCCACAGCCAAACTGGAGGCATAAAAAGTAAAGCCACGGCTGGCGTGGAGGAGCGGGCAGTCTAAGAGTATTGATACGAAGGAACGGGTGCTGGGCAGCATAGTGACTGGGGAGGGGCGGGGCAGGGTAGGGGTGGCACAGCGCTCGAAGCCATGGAGGGATGAGATGGCACAAAGCGGCCACTCATGACCACTGAGGAGTCAGACCGGGCGTGGGAGGGGGCAGCGCCCGGAGCGGCTGTTGTGGTCTCAGGTCTGCCCCCAGCCGCCCACACAGGGCGGAGGTGGGGGCGGCCGTGCCCGTCACGCTGTCTGTGGTCGGGGTGAGGAGGGCACCGGCACCGAGCCGTGCCTCCCATCCCTTCCTCCGTACCGCAGCCACCCCTTTATCACGCAATAGTTACACACTCCTGCAGTGCCCGTGTACCCATCGTACTTCCTCCGTACCTCAGCCACCCCTGTATCACGCTACAGACACTCCTTCAGTGCCCGCGTACCCAGCACACGAGTACGAGCACCCGACACGAACACCCCGCGAGTGCACGGCGATCAGACACACTGCACTGTACTCACATGACCATTGCCGAGTTTTTCATGATGCGCCCGCATGGTCCAAACTGCTGGATGGGGCTGGGCGCGTTCAGCGACCGGGTCCGCCTGAAACCAGAGGGTGCGGGGTCAGGACACTGCCTGAGTGCCACACCACGCTGAGAGGGCACTCACAGTGCAGGAGGCGATCGGGAGACCAACACAACACAACTTCGGCGTGTACAAAACATAGGGACTTTGAAACGGCGGAGAAGGCGAGGTCAAAATCCGCGCCATCAAGTACTAAAAACGCACATATCCGGTTCTGAAAAACTGCTCATGTACGGAAGTTTTGTTAGTTAAGCTATCGACGATGTCTTGACGGTAGCAAAGAAGCAAAAAAAAAACCTGATGACAGCACTTAGCTCGCACAAGAACAGGTGGCACATGACTAACACAAGTGCCACAGCTGTTGGCCTAATCAGGCAGTGACAAAATGCGCATACTCTCCACAGCCTAGATGCCATCCCGTCGGCTGTCGCGGAATAATCCAAGAAAAAAAAAAACGATACCAACAAAACATTGACTGGTTTAAGCGAACACATTGCTAGTGATATCATCATGCATAATGGTGTGAACTGTGAAGCATCAGACGACAGGCAATACGGAAACATCTACAGTATCACCACGGGAAGCCAATTTTGTGCGATGTGCGCTGAGGTGAGTTAGCAAGATATAATGCCTCGTCAGGCGACAATGAACCCAAAACAGGTTAACATGCCACAGATACATTCAAATCCTGAACTGGCTCAGTGTTTATTCTATCACACATAGTTGCCGAGGAATAAAACACGCACGCATGCGAGGGTTGGCAGCGACTCGAGTGGCGCACTAGGCGTAGCCAAACGTCTCGTAGTGAGGTCAAATGGACCACAGTCACAGCATGTTTGGTAGGGAAACGAGGATGATCACTGCCCTATGCACGATGCAGGGTAACAACAGAGACCCATGATACAGGGTGTCCGGAAAGTCCTGGCGCATCTTTTGGACGCCGTCTAACGCGCGCTGTGATTATTGGACATCCAGCCAATCACCAAAGATACGACCCTCGTTGACTGCACAGCTACGGGTCGTGTAAGCACGAAATTGAAGTCGTTTTTAGTGATCGGTAGATGGGCGAAGATGCGTCTCGTCGCTGAATGCCTGCGCGCGGCGGCCGGGTGCGACTTGAACGAAGCGCGAGTTGCAGCGCAATGCGGTGTTTTTCGGCGAATGGTTGAGCAGGTAAAGGTTTATTTCCGACTCCGGAATTCCTTAGAATATATCCTCAGACCGGTACGGCTGCGGTATGTCAAAACTGCCGCGAGCGTAGCAGCATTTGAACGGCAATCGAATAAAATCCGGGCGTCTGATGGACAAAAATGTTCCATCATCTTCGTCAATGTCAAATAAATGAATAACACGCTGGACCACGAGGGATTCGTGGACAGGCACATCAATCCGAGGTTCAAGGCGACTTGCCCTAAGGGTCACTTCGCATTTCAACAGCACGGAGCGCCCTTCAACAACGCCGCTGCCGTTCAAGCCAAACTGACAGAAGGGCTCGGCGGGCCAGATCACAGTGACGAAATGAGCTTGGGCCGCCTTATTCTCCTAGCCTAAACACACTAAACTAAACCATGCTACACGTTTTTTTTTCAGAATAAGCTCTATAAGCCCACCTCTCTTGCCAACCTGGAGTCGCTGAAGACTCGCATCATGACAGCCTGGGAGGACCTGGAAATCTCCCACATCGTCGAAACCCGCAGGCTCTTCCGCCCCGCGTCGAGGCCGTCGTCGGCGCAGACGGAGGTTACATTGCATGATCACTTAGTGGAAGTATGTGGCTTGGTGTCCCTGGTCATTGGTTTGATCAATTGTTGAGCATTATGAACCAAAGCGATTTGTTTAAAAATGTTGAAGAGCGTCACGACTTTCCGGACACCCTGCGCACTGTACATACCGCGATGGCCGGCATTTCATAATGCCCACAGGATTAGCGGGATATATGTAAGTGAGGATTGTCATTTGTCGGTACATGCTTGGTTCATATCAACTCGCATTATGCGTGGAGTGCCAACCAGGGCTGCGGAGTCGATAAATTTTCGGTGACTCCGACTCCGACTCCCCAGTCCTGGTGCGAACTAGATCTGTGAATCGCAGCTCAGTACTTACAAGTTCACAGCTTATGCAAGGGTTTTCACGCTGGTCGCAGCGGACACTATATTTCACATAGGGCTTCGAGGATACGCCACGCATGCACTGCCAACATTTGGTATGTTACCTTTAATGTAGGTATTCCGTATTTGTGCGTCAGCATGCCTTGTTTATTTCGGTATTATAAGACTTAAGGCATTGTAAATGTTTGCCTGGGCTTGAGATAGCACAGATCCCAGTGAGAGCCACGGCAAATGTATACCTTCACAAAGCACAGACAATAACACATGCTACAGCACCAGCTGAGACACCAGCTATGTAATTCTGATGCATATGAGCTGGTTCTCCAAGTTGCTGGTCAGCTTTTACTTTCAGATAGAAATATGTGAAACGCACACATCTTGACTGGAGGTTCAAAAACAAAAGTTTTTGTAGTTTTAGGAAGAAGCTTTAATCGCATGACGCCGGTAACGGAATCTCGCCCAAAGCTGTCCTGCGGTATGCGCTTCACAGTTTCCCTTCTTTGTGATTTGTCCAAATGACGTCTTTGATGTCAGCAAAATACCCCATCCGTGTGCGTTGTGAAACAAAGGCCCTCATTGCACAACTAGGGACGTCGTAAGGGGTTTTACCACTGCAACTTCCCGCCGCTTCGGATCGTATTCCTCGCCACACTGTGTCTCAGCCTGTACTTTTGTTTGGCTTGTGAAAAATGGTCTGCTAAGGCCCGAACAGCAGTTACTCATGCGTACAAACAGAACTCAGGTAGCTGTGGTGTTCTGTTGACTATGTAGCTCGTGTTAAACTGTGCACCTGTTGAGACTCCCGGGGCGATGAGATCACGACCCAGTAGTAACTAGCAGGCGCCTGTCTCGAGGGAACCTCTATCCCAAGGGCAGACAACATCCGCCATGCCGACCCCAGAGCTCGACCCCGCAGTCTAGGAGTCGTATCCGGCCCTCAGCAAACCTTCCACTTCACACACGGTCACGACGGCGCGCCTTCAAGGGAACACTACAAACAATACCGACATGGCGCGAATCAGCAGCCCCAGATTACTGCCAAGGTTACGAGCTGAGACAGGGGTGTGCCATTTCTGGCAGGAGAGAGGCAGACGGTAACGGTAAAGGCAGCGTGAATATCCCGGGGCGAAGCGAGGCCACGCGATAATGACTCCTTCAGAGACCGTCAAGGGAATCTGAAAGACCTGGGAAGAGGCACTTCTACGAACACTCAGACACTCTACAAAACGACCTTCGAAAGAAGCGGAACCGGCGGACGTATGCACAAGAGACCGTAAAAAGCGTCTGCGGTCTTTAAGGGTTCCGCAGTATCATTTGATATTTCATGTTGCGTCGACATCGACGAGCAACGACATAACAGGGAGCGTAAAGCCGTAGAGAACGTAGGATCGATAGAAAAGCTCCATAAGTTGTATGCCACCGAACCCTGATCTCTACCACTCTCCGTTGGTCAATTTTACTGTGCAAATTCAGAGACATACTCGGGCAACACCCAACCACAAGGGGCATCCAGCTCCAACTCCTGGTGCTGGAGGGACCCACGCCCACCATACCAACCCCTACCTGAGCGGAGCCGGCTTGCCATTGTACAGCTTGGTCTTGGCGAGTTTCTCGCTGCAGACGCACTGTTGCTCCTCCTCGCTGTTATGGCGTGACCTGCTGGTGACCCCTGACCCGGAGCTGGGCGCCAGCTGACCCTCACTGATGGTCTGCAGACCGCAGGCCGGAAGGCTCGGCGAATCCATGGAGAAACAGGAACGGGACGAGCGATCGGGGATCTTCTGAAAGGATATGGGCAGTCGAGAAGGAAGTGCGGTCAAGCAGAGGGACGTCTTGATTTACCTAGAGGGACTTTCTTGATATTCGCTTTTGGAGTGAAATGACGGATGTTTAAGCACAGCCTGTCTTCTCCAGACAATGGCAGATCGGTTGTCTCTCAGGATGGCCCCAGCACTGCGAAAATGACCGGTCGCACGCACACCGTCTGACCACCACCGAGGCCCGTCTCGGAGCTACGACCGGACGGTGGTCGTCGTGTCGACTGTGCCTCCGTCAGCGAGCTGATAGTGCCCGCCGCAGACTCGCCGGTCCGGCCGGCCAGCCACCGCATCCGGTCCGGGCCGGTCCTGCTGCCGGCGGCTGCCGACAGCGCGCGCTGGGATATACCTCCGGCTGGGGCTATCACAGGCAGCCGCACTGGGATATACCGGCTTTGGGTATCACTGGCTTGACTGCGCGACAGCTGCCACAAATCACAGCTTAGGGCGAGTCACTCTGGGCGGACTCGGGAGTCACTCGGGGATATGACGGAAATCCGCGTGACGCGTGTCGAAGTCCCAGCTCGAGTGGGATGTCCACGAGGGGAAGTCTCGATTTTCGAGACGCTTATGAGTACTGAGTATGCGGAATATAATCCCCCTCCCCCGCCCCGTTTCGAAAAAGTCGTTGTCTCCAACCTGAATGACTACATGCTAGTCGGAGGCAGTCGGAGGATTGTGCTATTGATATACTAGATTTGTTACAGCCAGTTTTCCGACAGAGGCAATGCGGCTACGTCCTAGTCTGAGGTGTAGGCACCGTGTGAGCTATGCCTACACTGCTGTCTTCCAACATATGAATATAATGCCTTATCTGAATCTTAACCCCCCCCCCCCTCCTGCGGTTTTTCGCAGATATCTCAAAAACGGCGGCGCAAAGCGCCGCCGTTTTTAGCACACCTGTTCGTGCATCTTTCCGCACATGTTGTGAAAATTTCAGACCCAGGTCGCCTTAGGTCAGGTCACCAGGTCACGCCAAGTGACCTCACCTAAAAAAAATAAGAATGATCGTCATAGCTACACCGACAAATCGATTGCCTTGAAACTCTCAGCGATTGATAAGAGCAACATTATCTATAAAATGTATATCTGG